GTGGATTTTCAGATCTGTTGTGTTACTTTGCATGCCATGCAGTCACCTGGTGCAAGGCCTCAGGAATGGGTCTGGGAGCACTTTGGAGGTCTTTGATGGGTTATGACACCCCCTCAGCTGCCCCTCATAATGTCCCCTGGAGATGGCCTTCTGGGGCTGGGGGGTTTTAGAGCTGAGTCAGTTTGTCTGAGGGAGGATGGGTGTCCACTGCCTCTTACCAGAGGTTGCGCCACACGCCCAAAATTTCCTCCTCCTGCCTCTGTTGATGGGAGGTTTTTGTGCAAACGTGGCCTCAGCAGATGAGTCTGTGGCTATGACTTCCCCAGCCTGAAGGCAGACGGAGCTGATTTTCAGCACAGCTGCTGGGTTTGGCTTTGTTGTGGATACATTTTTCTCAATTAGCCTTATTTAGTTCTCCCCAGACCTGAGCTAACAGGACAATAGTGTCACCTTGATCTTGTCTCAAGTTCCCTTAGGTGGCTTAACTCACAATCCCAAGTTCCAGTCAGGAGGCATTTTCAGGGAGGGGTGGGCTTCAGTAGTTGCAGCTTCTTTATTTGTCACAATGGGCAAAAAGTCCTTCATAATAATATTTAAGCCATTAGCCATAACATTCCAGTCTCTCCTAAGTCCTGTGAGGAGCAGCTGAGAGAGCAGGGGTGGTTTAACCTAAAGAAGAGGAGGCCCACTCTAGCTATTTTGAAGTAATATTTAAGTTACAGCTTTGTCTGTTCCAACTCTTATTAATGTTCAGCTTTTGAGCTCCAGGTTTCAGTATGATCCATCTTTGAATTGCACAAGGTAGCCATAGAGTTCAAATAAAGTCCAACTAGAGGCCTGACAATACTAGCTACTTATGCCAAACAAGCACTTAGCTACTTTCAAATCATATCAAATTTTTTAGCACCAGTATATGCCTTGAATCTGCCATGAATTGGGTTGTGGATTTTCAGAGTTCCATTGTTGCTCCTTCCAGTTTTGTTGAGGCATTGTCACTCATCTGCAACATCCTCTCTTGGAAATGGCGTCTGGATTGCCAAAGAAGAAACCAACACCTCGTCTTTTGTCCAGGAAAGGACTGAAGCCTGATGCTGTGAGTAGCCCCTGGGGCTGTGTTAAGGCTGGCAGTGCCCTGGTGTCCCTGCTCTCCCTGGCCCTGTTGTCCAGCAGTGCTGTGAAGCTGCAGAGCCCCTCCCCAGCCCTTTGTGCCGTGCTCCTGTTGCTGGGGGCTATCCTGGTGCACTAGGGAACACTGTGGGATGCTTCAGTTGTGCCTTGCCTGGCTGTGCCAGTGGAGCCAAGTGAAACCAATATACAGCTGAAGCCCTGAGCATGTGTTCTGTCCCTTTCCCTTTGCCACAGGAATTCCTTCTGATAGGCTGGGCACTCACCTGTGCTGCTCTGACCAAGCTCCCCTTGGCACCCGGACATGTGGCGGAGGAAAGCTCAAACTCTGCCCAAAGCCTTGAGAGCCATGGCTGGTCCCAGCTGGAAGAGCTTCCAAAGCAGCTGTTCTCTCCCAGCTCCTGTGTGGGCACAGATCCAGCCCTGCAGGCAGCACTGGGGCCAGGGCCACAAAGGTCCCTTGCTGTCTGCAGCTCACTTGACTGAAGATGCCCCACCGCTGAGGCTCTGTCCAGGAGATCCCTCTGTTTTCTTCTGTGGAGGGCTCTGTCAGCCCAGACAGAGAAAACAATTAACAGGGAGAACTAAAACCTGGACACATTCCTGTGCACCTCCTTCTTGGTACAGCGATATCTCCTTGCTGTGAGTTCTGAGTGTCGTGTAGGGATGGAGTTCAGGCAGTTCTGAGAGCTCCTCCCCATTCTCTGGAAAGGTCACTGCCTCAATCCAATGAAACATAAGAGGAAACAAATGCCCAAAGAGCAGAAATCCCCAACCATGTCCCATCCAGTCACGGAGAAGCTCATGGGACAGAGCCATGTGGCTGGAGTATGTGTATTGCACTCTGTATTATTAATTGACTGATGCTAAGTATTTCAGCAGGAAACTTCCAGGCCTTCCAGGACTGTCCTAGTGGCTGTGATCACAAGTTATTCACCAGTGCCACTTGTTCAAGAAAAGTCTTTCTGAACAAGCGCATCTCTGAGGCTCTAGCTGGTGTATTTTTGCCTTTCAGCTGCTTCCCTCTAAGTTCCAGAGGGAGAAGTTTCTCAGCAGGAAGAAGGAGGCCAGCACTGGGGGGAGTATTCTGCCCAGAATTGGCCCATTTCTAGACATGACTGAGACTCACCCAAAGGTAGCCTTTTCCTGCTCTTTTCCTTTTTGTTTAACATGAAGTTTGAAGACAGTGTGTGCTTGTGACAGGCTTGCCTCCAGCAAAATACCTCAGTGTCCAGGTCCTGTTGTCATTGCAGAGTGCTGGTAGTGGTGGACTGGGAGTCCTGATCTGCACTAAGCCAACACAAATAACCTCTGCTGAAGTTGCTGGGATGTGCTGGAGTGTAGCTGCCATTGCTAGCAGGGGGAAGGCTGGGGACACAAAGGCACAACATTGCCATTTGCCATTCTCCTGCTGAAGGAGCCCCCTCTTGCTTTGGTGTGGTCACCATCAAATGCTTGGGGTCACAGGATTGCCTCCAGAGTGGCAGCGTTGGCCTTTGAAGGCCAAGGATCTGCAGGAATTACTTCAGATTTAGCAAAACAAATTGCATTACTGCTTTGAGTTGGAACAATGTGTTGGACCTGGAGTGGTTGTTAGATTTTGCAGGCTGCCAGATGTACAGGGGACTGGCCCTGGGCAGAGGGGAATGGATGTGCTTTATCTGGATCAGTGCCTACTTAGAGGTGTGTTTAAAGCTGCTTTTCTGGCAGGACTGGCTCCGTAGAAAGCACAGTCCAAAGGGGTAGGTGATTGAGGTGGGCTGTTGAGCAGGAAATTGGCAGCAAGAGACACGGAACACAATCCAGGTTAAGGATTGTCCTAGAGAGGGGCCTTGGGAACACCTCAGGGAAGGTCACAGCTAAGGGACAGTGTGCTGCAGCCACTCCCTTCAGCAGAATGTGTCTGCTGTGAAGTCACGGAGGAGACCTGCTTGCGTCTCTGCAGTGACAGCAGTGTGGCCGGAGAAGGCAGACAAAGCAGGGCAGAGTTTTCTCCAAGCAATGTCTCTGCTCCAGAAGCATTTGCTGTTGTGTCATTCCAGACGTGCCTCTACAATGGCATTAAATAAGATAGCAGTAATAACAAGAAAGCACCCATGTAAAGCTCAGGGAAAAAGGAGATACCAACTCTACTTTTACCCAAGTTGCTGAGAAAATAACTGAACCTTATCCTCATTCAGCATTCACCTCACTTGTGGTTTTTATTTTCAGCTCATTTGTCTTTTTATTCTTGCCTTTCCCTCTGTTTGAAACACACTAACTTTTAAGTACAACGAAAGGCGACAAAATAATCAAAGCAAAAGAAAAGTGTTTATTAGTCACAATTCAGCTGAGCCGGGCATGTCTCCCTCCCCAAGAGCCAAGCACACACACACACCCTCCGAGAAAATGGCAATCTTTGTATCCCCTTTGTACCCGGCTGGGGCGGTCCCTGTCCCCTTTCCCATTGGATGGGTCTTAGGAGCTTCCATTCTCTACTGACCACCAACTTTTCTGTCCCCTCCCCTCTCATCCTCCTTCCTTTTGGTCAGGTCTTCAACCCCATCCCTCTCCCTGCGACACTCAACAAACCAACCTGAACAAGTCCAAACCACAAACAACACACAGAACCAACAAATTCCATTGTTTTGCTTCATAACCTTTTGGCTTCAGCCAAATATCACCTCATCTCTCACACCTCCTCTGGTCCTGTGCTCTTCTTTCTGATGTCAAAGTTCTAGAGCAAAAAAGATATTTGCAGTTGTGTGGGCCTCGGTTTCCCGGTCTCAGAGTAAAGGACATCCCAAAATTGTTTCCCATGGGGTCTCCTGTCAATTCATGGGTTTAACTTACTCCATGAGTGCTCAGTCAGTGCCCCAGAGCTCTGTGACCACATGGGCACAGAGCTGTGCTTAAGGAAAGTGCTGCCTGGCATTCTGGAGAAAGAAAGCTGGAGAAATCCATGCCAAAAGAGCAGCTTGGCTTGAGCCTCCTCTGTGTGGCCCAGCAGCTCTGGATCAGCTCAGAGCAGAGGTGGGTGAGCTACTGTTTGCCCAGTTGTCAAACCATCACAGGGCTGGGCAGACGTGCTCACCCAGAGTCTGTACTTCACTGGGGATCAGTGGAAGATTCTCCTGCATGAAACTTCCTCCCAGCAGCTGAAGCTCTCCCTGCTCTCTCTCCTCTCCAGCTGCTGTCAGCTGCCCCAAAACAGAGCTGGTTTGGGATTTCTCCACCAGAGATGGTATTTCAGAACTTCGTTGCTTGGGAGGTGTCTGAAATGGTGCTGTCTCTCATGAATAAGGACAAGGTAAGTGCTGGCACCCAGAGCTTTAACACTGTGCCGGAAGAGGAGAGAGCTGTCATTCCCCCAGTGTACAGCAAAGCAAGTTATCTGCTGCAGCAGTGAGAGGGGAGTTCTGAGCCAACTGATGTTTCTACACCAGGCCAGAGGTGCAGGATCTCTTTGGGTGCAGCTGTTTTCTCATCTTCCTTTTGCTGCTTAGAGTCAGTTGAACACTTTGTCCTATTCTCAGACAGTGGGAATATAGAAACCTAAAGAGGAATGTCCTGTGTTCCCTAGCTCCATGCTCCTTAGAAGGGACTTAGGAGTTCTTTAACATCATTCAAATTTAGAGTAAAAATTATGGTGGCCTTGGGTATGGGTGTGACCCAAGTGACACAAGAGCTGAATGCCACAGAGATAGGTTTTGCAAAGTGCACTGGTGCCTTTAAAATGTGACATATTTTAAAAAGAACTTAGTGTTCATTTGAGGGTGCAATAGGTAAATTGATGCCCTTGAAGGGTTATAGAAATGGATTTTCTTCTGGCATGGGGATGGCACTAAATGCCCTGTGCTGAGGCAGTTTCTTTTTTTCTTTTCCTGCAGGATTATTGCCACGAGCTGGTCTGCATCACTGCAAGGGAAAGGAATTTGGGCCATTGGTGCCCGAGCTGTGCTGGACTTCCCTGCCCAGCTGGACTTCTCCAAGTGTCCAGTCAAGGTCAGCACCCGGCAGACTCTGCTGGTGCGCAATGTCGGTGCCCGGGCAGCTCGGTACCAGCTGAGCACCCAGAGGTGAGGCAGCTCATCTGTCCCTGTGCAAAACACCTTGGGTGATAACAGAATTGGGAAAGAGCAACAGAAGGAATCAAGCATTGGATCTGCTGCCCTGCAGCCTGGCTGGAAGTGAGCAGCATGGATGGCATCTGCTCTTTCTTTCAGTGGCCTTTGAGCTTTCTCTGTCCCAGATTTCCTGGAGGCTGCTGGAACATGTTGGTAGCTGGCTTGCACCCTGCTGAGCACCAGCAGTTTCTGAAATGCTTCCTCAGCACTGTCAGCCAAACAGAGCCATTCTCTAGGAGGCCACAGGCATGTGGCTTTGCAGTGGTCCTGGAGGGGACCTCTGGAAATCATCTGAGCACACACACTGCTCAAAGCAAGAGCAGTGTTTGGGGATTGCAAGGTGCCATTGGGAGATCTGGGTCTGTCTTTAGATGCCATACAAGGAAACAAACATGTCAATGGACCTAGTTAAAAAGCAGAAGAAAACAACCTATTAAAACCCTCTCCATCCCTTATCTTTTCTGCCTGTCAGGTGCAGATTCATTGAGAGGATGGATCTAACAGGATGAGAAGTGTCTTAAGGAGCAGCCCACAATTAACAGATAAAAGGCCAAAATTTAGCTTGCCAGCCCCATCTCTTGGCAGTGGCTTTCATTTGGTTATTTCAGTGTCAGGAATGTCTCCTTCACAGCTCTTCTATCTGTGGGCTTAGGGAACAGCTTAGTGATGTTGGCTGAAATTCAGAGGAGTTGAGAGATGATTGCTACATCAGGAACAGAGGAGTCTGGTGGGTACAGCCCAGGGATGTAGGAGATGCAGAGGCTGATTTGCACTCAGTTTTTCAGTCCTGACAACTGAGTCCTGAACTTGGCTGGATCCTCTTCTCCTGATAATTTGAAAAGAAGAAGACACCTTCTTTCTCAGGCAAGCCCTGAAGTCACCCCCAGGAATGTTATTCCCATCCTGCCATCTGAAGGCAGGAGCATGGGAGCATGTAACATGGGGCAGAAGTGGGAAGGGAATGTGTCTCTGTCTCTCTGCGAGCCTCTCAGGAACCCTGGGCCAGTCCCGAGTCGGCAGACACCGGGGAGGGCAGCCCCGACATGGCCGACAGCAGGGAGACACTCTCTGTGCCCCGAGGTTGCTGAGGGCACCTGGGCTGGGGGGAGACACTCTCTGTGCCCCGAGGGTGCTGAGGGCACCTGGGCTGGTCGCCTTTGCTGCAGAAGAGACTCCAGAGACATTGGTAGAAGAGAAAGGGCCGACTCCCAGCAGGGGTTAATCCAAGGTTTTATTAGGATCCCAAAGGAGCTCCTGCACCTCAGGGGCCTCCTGCCGAGAGCCCCGGGAGATGTGCCAAGGTCACGTTTAAAGGGAGGTGGAAACCAAAAGTAGATAACATTTTACCAACCAATGAGTGACCCTAAGGGATGGGTACTGGGGGATAGACATATAGGACAGTGTATGGGGCAAGGCTTGGGGGGCTGACCCCTGGCCTCTGGCTAATCACTCGACGACTTGGACCGAAACTTCTGGATGGAGGGATGGGATGCTGAGTGATTGACAGAGAGCCAGGGTGGGGGTTTGGAGATGATCTCATCCCGGGAGAGGAATTACACAGGTAAAGGGAGGGGGGTACAGTCTGGGATAAACCATTTGGGAAAAATATGGGAATACAAAACAAAACTACTTCAAAGTATTACAAAATATAAAAACGCACTACAACAGGAATGGAATGGAAGGTTGTGCTGAAGTATGGCCAGGGGTTCCCCTAACTGGCAGCTTCTGTGTTCTGATGAAATTTCTGGCAAAAGACTAAGAAAAGAATGCTATGCCTTGCCCCCAGCAGGCCCTGATCCCCCCGAGCCCCAGCAGAGCTGCAGCAGTGCTGGCATCAGCCCCAGGGCAGATGCAGGAGCACGTGCACTGATCTGGCTCTGGGGCTGCTGGGGCCTTGTCTTTCCTCCCCTCCCTCCAAAGTCTCACGTCCAGCACATGAACATTGCTGGCCCAAGGCTTCTCCATCAGCCAGCAGTGATGTTCTCACCAGTGGGAATGGGAACAGGTCAGCCCATCATTGCAGCAAGAGGTCCTGAATGAGCAGAACCTGAAGCAACGAGAAAGAAACATGAACAACGTTCAGCTTGCCAGATGTTCTCTTTGTTCTTGTGTGTGATGCATTCATCACCAAAGTCCCCAAAAGACACTTTTAAGTGACAGATTTACCAGCAGCAAAGCACCAAGGCCAGGAACTTTTGTTTTCTCACTGGGGCTGTAGAAGAGCACAAAGCCCAGCAGCTGCTGGGCACAAGCACATTTCCCCTGAGCTGTCCCTGAGCTTCAAAGCACAGAGTCTTGTGTTTGTCAGGCAAGAGCTGTTTACCTGGTGACCAATCCTGATTGCTCATGGTAAATCCAAAGTGCACCAACACATCTGCATAATTATTTCCAACACATTGCATAGAGTTTCTCTGCTGGGCCAAGCAAACAATTACCAGCCTGCATGACAGCCCAGAGTCCCAGACTGCATTGCTGGTAAATGCAAAGAAACCTCCTGTTCTGCTTCCTTGATGTGCTCCTGCTAATGGTGCTTCATTTAGCTGGGATTGGACCCTTCAGACTGTAAATGGCATCCTCCTTTTGGGTCTTGTTTCCATGTCACTGTATTGCTCTAATCTGCATTTGCACTCTTTCAGAGTTTTGATTGCTCCTTTTCTTAGAGCAGCTTCCATTGAAATGCTGATAAAATGTGTCCTTTTTAGGCTAAATCAGGATGTTTTCCAGGTAAAAGAAACCAAAGAACCCCACTGCAAATTCAACAGTAACTATTCCTTGGTCTTCAGGGAAAAGTTCCTTCTCCCTGTCTGCTTCCTAGGCTGTAATCTCCCAGGACAGGGAGTGCCCTAACATTTGCATCTCCTGAGATGAGGTTTATAGGCAGCAGGAAAAGAGAAATTCTTGAGGCAGTCAGTGTCAAGTTGTGCATGCAGATAGCTCTGAACCCTCTCTGTGCTCTTCACAAACTATTCTCTGATGGGATTGGTGGCAGCTGGATCCTTGATCCTCATTGCAGAGAGCTGGATGCAGAGTATGGGGGAGCTCAGGTCATTTTACCCCCAGGGTCTTGTGAGGGCTGGATCTCCTCAGCAGTGGCTCAGTGGCTGTTTCTGATCCTGTCTGTTCTGGCTGTCTTCTGCTGCCTGTGCTTGGTTTGCTCCCTGCTTGCCCAAGGGAGCTGCAGGGAGCTGCAGTGCAGCAGGAATCTCATGGCCAGGTGTCCCCCAGCCCTGATGCCTCTCTTTGTGTTGCAGTCCTTTCTCTGTGGTGCCGGCCACAGGAGCTCTGGGCACTGGTGACACCGTGCAGGTGACAGTGGCATTTCACCCGCTGGCCAGCGGTGCCCATTGCGGCTCCCTGGCCGTGTGCTGCAGCTCAGGTGAGTGCTGGGCCCTGCAGGGCACAGGACAGTTCTCCAAATGGCTCCCTGCTGTCCCTTTCCCTGCATTCCCTCTAGAGGTGCCTCGCCTGTTCAGCTTTACCCCAAAGCAAACTGAGAACTCCTTGGTGTTCAGGGGCTTGAGAAAGTGGATCCCCTCTAACAAAGGCAAAGATTTTTGACTCCTGTTTTGCTGGAGTTGCTGAGTGGAGGAAGCAGGATCCCTGATTCTCCACTACCATGTGGCACTGCCTGGCTGAAGTTTTATTTGATTCCTGGGCAGTGCTGTGGGTGAAGTCTCCATCAGACTCTCTCCAATGCAATGGATTTCTTGCATACCTCTGTCCCATATGCTGCTTCTCCACTGGCTTGCCACAGACCCTTTTTCTATGTGGCCCTTACACATAGATGTAGTTTCTGCACAACAACATTTTCAGGCCCTCTAGTTCCTTTTTTGTGACAAATCAAAACAAATTTTTCCCTGTCCCCATTTCCCAGGCCGTTCACCCTGTTGCAAACCTCTCACATCTATCTCCCATTTGATTTCCAGACTGAGGAATCCCATTCAGTCTTAATGTAGAAGCTGCTCTGTACTTACTAATCTTTCCTTTGTCCCTTTTTTATTTGATTTGCAATGCTCCAGCTTGGTTTTTCAGATCAGAACACTATAAAATATTTCAAGAGTGATGTGGCCATGGGTTTGGACAGGGAGATGATGATGATGATTTTATGGTGTTCATTTTGTAGTGGTTTGTCACATTGCAGAGCCAGGCTGGTTGTGTTTCCTCACCTGTGTCCCCTCCTGCTGTGGGCTGTCCCTTCACTTGTTCCTCTGGGCCTCCTTTTGCTGCCCACCTGCCCCCAGGCATATTTGCTGGTCAGCAAGAAGGGATCCAAGGCATCAGGAGAGACAGGAGTCTCCTGGGATGCCCGGGGAGACCCTGGGCAAGGCAGGTCTGAACAGGGCTCCTCAGCCCTGTCACCTGAAGGACTTGGATGCAGAAATTCCGGTGATCTGAGTGGATCACTGGAGCACATGGACCAATCTCCCTGCCCATCCTGTCACCTTGGGGCCAAATCTCTACCAACACCCTCAGAAATAAGGTGTTTAAGGTGCTGCCCAGGACATCCCCACCCTCTACACACAGAGCTGTCAGGATGTGATAAATGGACTGATCCACAGAATTGCTCATTCAGCTCAAAACTGTGACACTTTCTTCTGTGCCCTGTGGTTTGCTCCGTTCCTTCCTTGGCTTCCATCAGACAGTGAGCTGAGCAAAGACTCCCCTTTGCTTTGTTCCAGGTGAAGAAAGAATCCACACAAACCTCCACGGAAAAGCTGTAGATGTCAACATTGGGCTGAGCACAAATTCTGTGGGGGTTGACAAGACTTTCATCACCATGTCAAGCCACAGAACTATGTTCGTTGAAAACAGGAGTAACATCACAGCCCCACTTCAGTGAAGGGCTTTTCCCACTGAGGAAGAAGAGAATGAAGACAAGAGGAGGTTGGTTTGAAAGATGCATTTCATTGAGATACAGGCCCAAGACTGAAACTAACGTGTGGCCTCAGGGG